TGAATCGCGAATACCGAGAGCGGACTGAAGAATACGCCGAATACGCGAAAATTTTCCCGAGCACAAACGAAAAAGCTATCGATCGAAATCGATCGTTATTTTCTAAAAGATGTGTTTTATTGGACTTAAAAAGCGAATTGTTGTGATGGAAAATATACGTATTAATATTTTAAATTTCTACTACAGTAAATAAATGTTTAATAATTAAAAACTATTTTTAAAAGCAAAAATTATGTTTGATGGTTCTTTATCTGAAAAAAAATATTTGCAAAGGTAACAATCTTATTTTATTTAGTTGCATAAATGTATTTTTTTAATTGTAGTTAAAAATGTATTTGTGGTAGCAAGAAATTTCTTAACAAAACACTTTTTAAATATAATTCTCTCAGTGCAGGTTTTAAAATAAACTTGCAACTTTGCAAACGTTTTTTTGTTTTTTGTTAGTTATTTATGTGTATAAACATTTTAAATAAAATAAACAACTTATTTGACGACACCTACTTAAATGACTACAGTTTACGAATGAACCTTGTATATTTGAGATATAAATTTATGGTAATTTTTTAGATATATTCAAAGTGTTTTTTTTTAAATATACAAAAATATAGCGACCATTTTGAACAGCCCGAAGAATCATTTTAAAATTCAATCATTTCATTTTTCTGGTTGCATGATTTTAAATAAGTATAGCACTTAAATATTTACTTTATATTCTGAATGTATTATTTTATCAGATTAAGGTTAAAAAATCGATCTTTAATTCTTAAAGAAAAAATCTCTAATGTAAGCTCGAACATCTACTATACCCAAAATATCCTGTAATCCCTAAAAAATTCACCAATTTATATAAAATTCCTCGTAAAGCCCTTTTCCGAACTTCTTTTATTTTTTGTCTCACACACTGGCTGCCTTCGACCGAAGCCACAATGCGAATAAAAATTTGTTACGGAAAGAAAAAAGACGAACGTTTAAAATCCTGTAAACCTGTAAACATGTAATATACTGGTTTTGTTAAATTAATTGATTTCATAGTTAATTTATTTTAAGTTAAACAATATCAAATATTATGGTCTCTTGAATTACCTATAATACATTGACAAAAATTTCAAATTACAAAATAGCCTTTTCTATTTTTTCTAAATTATTATCGAGGTCCTAAAGTTTTTGATTAAACAAAGTAACTAACAGTTAAAAAGGATGTAGAGTAGTCGTAACTTTTAGGTAAACGGATAAAATGGAAACGAGATATAACAAAAGTATCTCTATATAGCCACTCCTAGAACAATGGAACAGAGCAGGACCTGTATAAGCGTGAAGAAGGATTATGTCTCAGAAAGGCAAGAAGTAGATGTTTACTTACATGCTCTTTATTAAAGGGACACAAATTAATTGCTGCAAACTGAGTTTATGTTTAAGACATGTTCAGAAGTTTCAGTATTTCGAAAAGGAAAGTATAATAAATAGGAATTATGAAATTGAAAACCGTAATAATTTGTTGAGATGATGTCTAAGACACTCGTGTAAAAGAGATATAATGTTAAAATGTTAAGTGGAAACTAACTCCAAAATAGGTAATAAAAAATAATAGAAAAATAAATAAGCTAGAGAGATACATAGGATATTGATATAGTAATACCCTCTATATTAATTTACCAAATTTTTTAAATACTCTCAGAATGGGTAGTTCGGCTATCTAAAAAAGTACAAATATTTTATACAAAATCTAATAATAAAAATTATAAACACATTTTAAAGTTCTTATCTCCGCTGACCCTATCGTCTGTGCCCATGTCCCTGTTACAGCTTCATCTCTTTTAATGTCTTTACCTCCGCTTACCAGCTCCTTATTTTAACTCTCCTTGTTTCTACTCTTAGCTTCTAATAAAATAAAATTCAATCTCTTTATTTTAAATATTCAACTTAACAATTCTTTAAATAATTGTAATGTTTGTTTATTTATTTATAGTTTATTTATTTGCAATTCATTTATAATGCACTAATTAATTTATACACTAATCAAATTAAAATTTTACAGTTAAATACCGCCGAAAATATGCATTTTTTAAAAAGAAGTTTCAGACAAAAGTTTTATAGTTTGTCGGGGAAACATTTTGGCTAAATTAATTTAGGTGGACTTTTTTTTTAAATTGGAACCCCATTTTTTACATACTCTTAAAGTTCACAAAAAAGAAACTTTTAAAGGAAACATTTTTATTGGACTTTTACTTATTGAGTAACACCTACTTGAAAATTTTGCTACGCCAAAAAAAAAGTTGGCCATATTATGGTTAGCTATAAAAAAACGATTTTAGTCAAAAATTTTTTCCCAAAAAACTATAAAACTTTCGTCTAAAACGTTTTATATAAAATGCTGTATTTAATTGTAACACTTTAATTTTATAATACTTAGACACTATTATATCTCACAATGTGTTTGGCCTGTAGGTTTATTGACAGTGGATCTATATGCCATTGCGAAGAACGAAAGATACTCATCCCAATCTCGCTGATGGTTAAAAACTACTTTGGATAGGTATTTGCCAATGGTCTTATTCATTCCATCTGACTGTGGCTGCAATGCCATATTTCTGGTTATCTTCATACCTAGTCTGTCAGAGATTCCTTGAAGAAGCTGGCTTTTAAAATCTCTCCTTGGTTACTGTCGATCTCCAAAGGTATTCGAAAAATAAGCTCATGGACAAACCATTTTTGTATTGCCTTAATATCAGTTTCTACGTTTAATTTTTGGTTGTTCTACGTATTTGCTTCATAAAGAAATGAAAGTATCATCTGCGTATCCTATAATTTTACCAACTGAAAATACCCATTTACAAATAGATTGAACTAAATAGCCCCTAATAATGTGCCCTGCGGTACACCATATTCAATAGATGCCTCCTTACTTATTTTATCCCCAACTCTTATCACTTGGTTTCTTGTGCATAGATAATTTTTAAAAAGAGAATGTTTCCTCTGATCCCTACATCTTCTGGGTGTGGATTATTTAACAATGAATGACTTATAATGTCAAAAGAATTATTTAAATCTGTGAATAGGCATAAACAAGGTTTTCTACTTTTCAGTGATTTTTATATTTGTTTTGATAAATTTAATAGGGCGTCCATAGTATAAATCCATATTGAACAAGAAGGTTATCCATACCTAAATTAGTTATATCCCAAGTAACATTTTTAGATTTATTAAAGTATACAATATAAAACCCTCTTTTAAGACACTGATAAAACTTTTAAATCCGCGACATAGCCTAAGGGCTGCTATAAATCTGCTTTAAGAGTAAAAGGGAGAATCCTATAACGGTTCTTAGGAGTATTTTTAAAACTGATTAGGTCTGTAAGAGTATATTTAGAATTTTATTAATCCATTTTTAAATCTTTTTTAAGATGATGATGATAATAAGTGAGATAGGCACAAAAACTTTACAAAACTAATCAGTTTTAAGAGAAGGTAATTTTAAACTATTTTAGCTTTATTCTGTTTTATCATACTCTCTAATAGGATTTCGAAAACATGTTGGCAAGACCATATTAGAAATTATTTATTATACCTGGTGTTCAAATTAAAGTGTTACAGTTAAATACCGCCGAAAATATGCATTTTAGAAAAAAAAGTTTCAGACAAAAGTTTTATAGTTTTTTAGGGGAAACATTTTGGCTAAATTCATTTTTTTATAGCTGACTATAATATGGCCATATCGATGTGAACTTTGTTCTTTTAAATGGGAATCCCATTTTTTTCTTACATATTCTTAAAGTACATAAAAAAATAAGAAACTTTTGAGGGAAATATTTTTTTTTATTGGACTTTTACTTTTTGAGTAACAGCTACTTGAAAATGTTGCTGTGCGAAAAAAAAGTTGGCCATATTATGGTTAGCTATAAAAAACGATTTTAACCAAAAGTTCTTCAGTACAAAACTATAAAACTTTCGTCTGAAACGTTTTTTTTTTATAAAAAGCGGTATACAGGGTGAACCGGATTTAATTTGCGTATACAGAGATCTCGTAAACCGTAAGATATACATTGTCGGTTAAATAGGGAAAAAGTTTTGTATTTTGACGGATAATACAATGGTCCATAGAAGTTCCAGATTTTCTAACTGGTTCCAGAGATATTCGATAAAATCCGAAAAACCTCCTTTTCGTTTTTTAAGTCGTGCGTTGTTATTATAAAAGATACAAAAAAAAATTATATAAAGTTTTTGTTATAAATCAAGCTACCTATAATCTACCATGTCAAAATTTGTATTACGACTTTTCGTATTTCCAGGGCCACCTTCAACTTATTTTTTTTAAATACGGACCTGAATTTTTAACTGTAATTTTTTATAGCTTTTGTATAGCTAAATACATCGATATGTTACACTTTACCATTTTACTACGTTTCGTCTATGAAAATATCATCAGCTATGTAGCTTCTGATGATACCGTTTCTTACTTGATTAAAACAAGATAGCTAATTAAATAATAATTAAAAAACAAAAAATGCTTAAAATGTGAAATTTTAAATATTATTTGAAACATAAGATTTATTTGATTACAAAATGGGTTACAATTTTTTATCAAACATAATTAAGTACAACCAGCAAACAAGACTAATGAAGAACGAATTATGGTTGTACACATTCTATAAATAATAAAGCTAATAACAAAAACATAAAATGAAAAACAAAACGGATTTTTCCTATCTTAAATTTTTTAATTTTTGCATACATAAGATCTTAACAAAATCATGTTTGCCATGCAGGTCATTTGTCACCAATATTATTGTTATATTCTGTAACATCTAATATAACAGTACTTTTTTAGTTTTAAATAATTTAAAATTAAATAAATATTATGGTTCGTTATACTGAAGAAGAGAAGAAAGATATGTATGATGTGTACATAAGATGCTATAGGAATGAAACCCGGTCAGCTCAGACTTATTTAGATTTATAGACAACAGCCGTCTAAGAGGATGTTCCCTTATATTTCAAAAAATATGGCAGAGCATAGCAGTGTGAAAAAAAGGAGAACTAGATATCAGGTTCCACATACTGATAATGAAATTAATGTTCTTGCCCAAATACATATTAACCCTGAAAATTCTACTAGGCGAATAGCTAAAGAATGTGTAGTAGGAACCTCCACGGTTAAAAGAATTTTAAAGAAACATAAATGCCACGGGTATAAATTTCAAAAAGTCCAGAAATTACACGCTGGAGACTCTGATAGAAGACTGATCTTTTGTCGTTGGTATAGTAGAAAACTGCGCAATGACCGTTCTTTCAACAAGAACAGTCTTCTTTTAATCAAGTAAGAAACGGTATCATCAGAAGCTACATAGCTGATGATATTTTCATAGACGAAACATGGTAAAATGGTAAAGTGTAACATATCGTTGTATTTAGCTAGCCAGGTCCGTATTTAAAAAAATAAGTTGAAGGTGACCCTGCAAATACAAAATGTCGTAATAAAAATTTTGACATGGCAAATTATAGGGAATTTGATTTATAACAAAAACTTCGTATAATTTTTTTGTATCTTTTATAATAACAACGCACGACTTAAAAAACGAAAATGAGGCTTTTCGGGTTTTATCGAATATCTCAGGAACCAGTCAGAAAATCTGGAACTTCTATGGACTATTGTATTATCCGTCAAAATACGAAACTTTTTCCCTATTTAACCGACAATGTATATCTTACGGTTTACGAGATCTCTGTATACGCAAATTTAATCTGGTCCACCCTGTATAGATGTAACGCTTTAATTTAGAACACCCGGTAAGTGTATGTTTAATTTGTTTGGTTACACCTGTTATGTCTTCAATTTTCAAATACATCAAAGTAATGTTAAAAGTGGGCAAGATGGGTCGTAATAAATGATGGGCCTCACAATATATGAAATATGTGTAAAAAAGTATTAATATATGGATTCTAATCTATTTACCAAAAGTTATTTAATAGAAACTAACGTTGTAAATATCGTACATATAGCACTATAAAATGATTACATTTGTATTCGATATGTTTTTGATATAAAATATCACATTTTGTATATTTTAAATTATTTCATGGAAGTGACTATTTAACCGCCAATATATATCCTATTGTAGATTTGTCTTTGCATGGATACTTGTCATCGTCAGAAAACCATTTTCAATTGCGCATACTACCTACTGGACTATCAGAAATGTGTTTAATTATAAATTACATTAGGCGAGGCAAGAGTAGATGTAAAACATTGTATTATAGCATGTTCCAATATATATTACATTTATATACCCTAAAAGGTACTAGCTGTAGATATATTTGACAAATTTGACATTATGTGGTTAGAGTCAGTAAACGCAAGCATAAATAAAAAATCTACTCTCATTGGCACGCTGTTGTCATTGACACACTATCAGTCTTTTGTACAGAAAATACGTCATTACTAAAATTAAAAGATTTTAGATTTATTTGAACTTTGATCATAATTTATTTTAATATTCAAAAGTAAGTTATTTGAATATCCATTAGGTTCTGGTCTGGCAGACAGGTACTATTTTACATGATATGTGGATAAACAGCCACTGCATATTTTAAATTAAGATTTTCCTCATTGTGTTCTAATCTGTACCTAAACACGGACATTAGCTTATAAAACTAATAAAGCAAAAAAAATACTTTTTAGGACTTTCCAGTTTTAAAAAGGTTCTGCTACACTTTATAAAGCGTTTCATAAAACAATAGTAAAAACAAAAACCTCAATAAAACATTCATAAATTCAATCAGATGGGCAAAACCTAACCTCACTCTCTCACTGATCATTTCCATAATATTAGGAGCCTCGGAATATTTCTTTGGTTTTTGTTAATCAATGGCACACAATGAATTTAGTTAACACTGAGGAGAAGAAGAAACATATAGGTACATTTTTTTTATTCTCTATGGAAATTACCACTTTTCTTTATTTTCAACGTCAACATAACGTGATTGGTTTGAAAAGCTAGGTTATGTTCTACAACAAACTTTATTTCCTGTTAAAACTATGTAGTTTTAAAACAGCCCTATTTTTTACTAGATTAAATAAATAATAAGAGTTATGTTGTAAAATTGTAAAAAATGTACCTAAAAGGTTCTGGGATCATTTTAATTTAAAGTATAATCCCAAAAAACTTTTTAAAACTAAGTTTTAAAACCTAATTTAAAAAACTGCTAAAAAGTATGCCTCTTTAACACCAAACACATTTTAGGAGTATCTTTAAACTAAAAAGTTCTAAAACTACTTATTATTTAACCCTGCAATAAAGAATAGTTTATCCTAAAGTAAACTATTTATTAAACAGATTTAAAAGAATCCATAAAACCAAGTAATAAGATCAATTTATTCTGCAGTTCTATTGGCAAAAAAAATAACTGTAATAAAATAATTATTAATTTTTATGCCTTTACAAAATCCTAATAAAACATAAATAAAACTTTTTTCTCCTAAAAATTTTACTTCGGATATGGCCTCACCATTTAAATTAAAACTTTTCAAATGCCTGATGTTAATTTTTTTTTAAATTAGGTTGTATTCTGTGACAAATTATTTAAAGTTTCGTTTATAAGTATTCGTTTACACTACTCAACATTTGTCAAATATTCTTTTTCTATGTTGTTATTTATTATAAGATACCTTAAACATTATTGTAGTCTTGTGATCTCTTTAAGTACTAAGTTAGTAATCTGATATTTTTATCACAAGTTAATTTGTAAATTTTCATAGTTCATTAACCCATAATTGTTAAAATATTTTTTCACATTTATAAAATCAAGTCTCATTGCATACTTTCTTACAGGCCTGATGATGGTCACTGACCGAAACTAGTCTCTTTCCCTGTTTTCATAACAATAAATAATTTTTGTGGTTAAGTCTTCGAGTTTTCCCTTTCCTTTTGAATCCATATTGTTTATTATCTATCTATGAATAATAATGTTTAATAATAATTGTTTAACTAATATTCTTTTTCTTTATTTGATAATCTGAGATGGATAAATAATCAAAAATATATTATGTTTGTGAATATCGTCGGCCTATTCTGTAAACTGCGTAACTCCACAATTCTCTGAAAATGAGTTATTACTGCCATCTTCGAGAGATTACTTATTTTTATGAATAATTGGGATGTCCGTGTTTGAACCATAATATTATATACCGCTCACTACGATAACAGCGTAACTCTAGTACCGACATATTTAATGCGAAAGATGTGTAACTCCGCATCTGGTTTGGTTGTGTGTTGCTGCTGTATTGTTGCCAGTAAATAACAGTTTTTCAAGGATTTTATACAAGAAATTGGGTGGTAAGTATTACTTTATTACCATTGATTACTTTGTTAAGCAATATTTAGTTATTATATTTATTGGGTATTATTATTTTGCCACTTTTATCTTTACGTGGAGATACGCAGTATTTAAATTATATTATATATTGGTTATTGAGTGGATTTACGATGTTTCGCAGAAACGCATAAATAGCCAAGAATAAACTAATATAATAACCGAATAAAATAATAGATAAACACGGTTAATAATAGTTTCAAGTAAACTGTCTATTTAGTCGAGTGACGTGCTTTTCTTGTTTTTAGATTCAACAATGAATCCCAATTCAAGGGAAATGAAATGTTTAGAAATGGTGTTTAAGCCTACTCCACCATATAAGCCAGTGAATTTGCCATCAAATGGGCCTTCTACGAGCAAATGTGCTGAAGTTATAAAGACAGAATATTCCAATTTAAAAAGTGACGAGCTTGCTTTAAATAATATTCCAATATTGATTATTCAATCCGATGAAGATTTACTTCCAAATGGTGACCTAATACAATTAGATAGTACGGTTAAAAATAAAACATTTAAATGCATTCATGCTTGAAGCCAATAATTATCAGAACGTTCAAAAATTAGATGGAATCTTAGCTGAACATAATTTTCCAGAAGCTGGAGATTTGGAAAAAAAAACGTGTCAGAGCAATCCCAGAAAGTTACAGAAGACGAAAATATTACCGAGGAAAATAACAATTATAAAGAATCATCAGAAACTGCATTTTTGCCTGGAAAATGTGATATTCAGACTAAATATCAGTCTGTGGAAGACCAGTCGGCCACAGTGCTGGAGAACCATGTGTATAGAAAAGGAAGGTTATTGAAGTAGACGACGAGAATGAGATGAAAAATGAAATGAAATACAGTGATGAGTCATCAGGAAGTGAATATGTACCGGAAGATAGGGGAAATCAGAGTAAAGATCAAACTGAGGCAGAACCGAGGGTAGAACAGTCAGAGAACGAAGACCAGGATGTTGGAGAAAAAAAGAAAGAGAGCTAGAAGATGCCAAGTTAATGAACTGAAATGGAGTGATCGAATGAATCGACAAAAGAGGAAAAATGGGCAGAGTTACTTGGGTAGAAAAAGAATTGAGAACAATTGGCGATATGACATTGAAAAACCACCAAAGGAAATGAAAGTTAGGTGTGATTGTAAATTATGCAAAACATCGAAGAAAATAAATTGTGCGTCATTAACACAGCAAGACCGTGAAACAATATTTAAAAGATTTTGAAAGTTTACATGGAAGGAAAAGAAAATGTTCGTGAAAAGCACATTAGAAGTTAAGCCAACAAAAAGAAAGAGACTTGGATGAAAATTCCAGAAGACATTTAATAACATATTTTTTTTTTAAACAGTAACGAAGAGGATACGTGTTTGTAAAAAAATGTTTCTCAATACCTTTGCAGTAGGAGAATGGGTTATTAAAAATTGGGCAAAGCCAGATCTTCCACAAAACGTAGATTTTGTGAACATAAAAAATAGCCCCTACGAAAATTGAAAAGGATTTTTAAATAAGTTTTTTGACGATCTTCCAAGTTGGAGCCTCATTATTGTCTAGCAAGTTCGTCCAAATTATTATCTGGAGCCAGTATGGGAATCAAACTCTCAGTTGCACAAGTTTTACAAAAACAGTTTTTGCATTGACCATAAAATATCTTCTTTATCATACGCCACTTTTTCCAAAATGTCTGATACCAAAAATTTAACATTATATAGCCCAAAAAAAGATCGCTGTGATGTATGTATAGGGTACGAAACTGGAAATATAGAACAAACTGAATTTGATTTACATCAAACTTTAAAACGTGAAGCAAGGAATGAATTAGAAAAGGACAAGTTATCAGAACACGCCGTATTTTCCATGGACTTGTAATATGTGCTTCTGTCACCCAAATCTAACGTTTCTTCAATGTATTACAGAATAAAATTGGCAGTCCATAACTTCACCCTCTTTAATAAAAAAGAAAACAAATGATTTTGCTTTTTGTAGAATGAATGTGAAGGTGGACTGACAGCCAACGACTTTTCAACAATTATTTTGTCCTTAACTTATTAAAAACTTCTTCCGAACCGCCCAAAACAATAATATTGTATAGCGATGGCTGCAATTACCAAAATCGTAATTGCGTTTTGGCAAATAGTTTGTTCAATCTAGCCTACGAAAATATTGAAATAATTCAAAAATTCTTATTGAAAGGTCACACACAAATGGAAGTGGATTCAGTTCATTCCACCATTGAAAGTAAAATGAAAAAGAAAAATATCAATGTACCCGCAGATTACATTAATATTTGTGAGACTGCTTGTAAAACACCTTACACTGTGAAATATCTACACCACACCTTTTTCAAAAGAATGGATATTTTGAAATTTTATAAGTCAATCAGACCAGGAAATACATTTGGGGTCCCACATGTAACTGATTTGAAGCAAATGAAGTACACAAAAGATTTTATAAACTAAGACATTCGGAGGAAGATTGGACAGTTTTAAATATGAAGAAAAATAATAAGATTGAAATGAGACCATTTGAGGAAATACCACCCTTATATAATAAGAGGATAAAAATTTCTAGCGAAAAGTATATTCACTTTCAAGCATTGAAGAAAAGTTTACTGCCGGATTATCATTTATTTTATGACAATTTGCCTCATAAGTAGGGTAGTTTAATTAAGAAGAATTGTGTATTAATATTTGAGTTCTAAACATTTATAATTTTTTTTTATTTTCCACGACAATATTTTTTATGTAAGGAGTTTAATATTTTTTTGTTCATAATTAATAATGAATAAAATTTTGGTTTTTCGGCATTGATTGTATTATTTCATTTTATTGAAAAATGCGTAATTCCAGTTTATTACTGGGACATATGCGTATCTTCTGGAAAATGGAAAAAAGTACGTTTATAAATATTATATACAAGAAATATTGAAAAACTAAGATACTAAATGCTGCACAAAAAGGTTAATTAAAAAATAACAATTCTAAATAGCTACAGGTAGTTTTTTGTATTTCCTGTAAAACTTACTGAAAAGGAGTTACACAGTTTACAGGTTAGGCCAACGATATAATATTTATTTATTGTTGCTTAATTTTAGGCCAATAGCTAAATTTGTAGGCAAGGGCACCAAAAATTGTACTGTATTAACTAAAAGGTCTATAATCAAGATATTGCTCCCAGCCATACATTCAGTATTGCCATGGCAGCAATACACCAAGCAGGCTTTGAATTAGTAGAGAACCCACCATATTCTCTAGATCTCGCTTCCAGTGATTACACGCTGTTCCCCAAATAAAAAGAAAACTTTTTAGTAATGATTAACTGATGAAAGTTGTTTGCAGAGGTCGAACAAATTTTTTTCCAGGAGGCTGTTGACATGTGCATTAGTGTAGAGGGAGACTGTCGAAAAATAAAACAAAAAATATAATGCAACTGTAGTTTTACACTAAAGGGTGTAGCATAAGGATCCACCTCGTATATAACCTATGGAAATAAATGACGGCACATCAGTCGGGTGTTTTATTAAGAATTTATTTAAATTCATTGAAAAATAAACAATAACATACCTACACCATTTTATTGCATATTATTTTTATATAGAGTCTTTTGTTTTTATTACGAAATCAAATTGAAAACGCAAACACTATGTTTCCATTAACGACCCATAAGAGCGTATTCAACTATTTAAGAGCTAATGCATTATATTTAAATGGGTAAATATTTCCATTTAGTTGCACACACAGTGCACTGATGCATATAATTTATCATATTTTACATCGGGACCGATGCTAATACGGCATTTCAAATCAAAACACAAATACAAATTATAAGTTTGTATTAAATACGTTCTTTGATTAAAGAGTTGCTTGAACTGTAATGTAATGAAACATACGATCGATAAAACGGTAATTAGTGGTGAATCCAGTAAACAAATATGGTATTGACTTAATCAATTATGTACAATTATATATTCCTTTTAACTTAATTGGATGTTTATCGTCATGATAATATCAGGACCAGTTTTTTATGTTTAAAATTTATGTTTTATTTCAATAAAAAAAAATGTTAATATTTATGAGTTTATTAGCGCTGAAATTATAGTTGAAGTTTGTAAAATTGTTGGCGCAAAAATCACCGATTGGTTTTTAGCATGGTTGAAAAGCAATAAAACTGCAGAATCAGTGGGGAAGTAGTACCTACTTATAGTAGACGGCACAGGTAAATTTTACTATTCCACAATTAAATATCAGTATTATTAATATATCTATATATAATTTACAAAGACAACGCCGACGTTCATCTTAGAAAACACAGTTGTCAAACTGCAAAACTAAATGGTGCGATCAATTCTATTACAGCTAAACGACTGTGTACGTTAAACGCATAGTACCCTTTGAGCAAATATGCTGGAACCGAGTGTCAAATACATATTTTATGCCTTGCAACGCTGTACGATGAGAATGTGTCGGATCGATTAATTATAACACCTTAATAAAGATAGGCGAATGGATGTAAAATCCGCAATCATAGAATCCCAAACAAGAAGAAGAACACCTTAATTTAAGCGTCTCCTATTGGTCGAGTCGAGCCTTTCTTAAATTTCTATTTGCTGTAGCTCAAGATAAACTGTAAGAAAAGCCGGTCAACATGAACTGGGATATCCAATATTAATTCTGGGATTTTGTTCATGTTCTAATTGGTTATTTGGCACGCTTCTATGCGTTATCGTCATGTTGACTGGGCCCAGGTGGACAATATTTGTTTATTCAGGGTTGTATTTACATTACTGTTTGGATTTTTGGTTTATAAAAAATGGCATTTTGAAGACCCTTTGTAAGTGATAAAAATAATGTAAATAATTATAATTTTGATGGAGTATTTTTTAAAAAAATAGGATCAGTTACACTTCAAAAAAACTAAATTGATATTTAAATACTCACATAAATTTAAACAGTTCAAAGTAGGCTTTGGCAGTTTAAGTTATTATTTACTTATACAGGGTGATTCACAAAGAAAAGGTTATATTTTACCTGCAAATTCTATAGTGGAAAATGTTAAGATTTAGCTTAGAACGGGGGGTAAAATATTAATATATAGTGAGAAAATGTAAAAAATATAAAATGTGTACGAGAATACTTTATTAAAAAAGTGACAAGCTGAATAAATTTATATTAATTAATAACTAGTAAATGGATGAGACTTTATTAGGATTTGGAGTGAGGGTAGCCATATGTGAGTAGTAGCAAGGATTATTTTGTTCATACAGTAAAGAACAGTGTACAATTGATAGAAAAAATCAAAGATGTTCATGTCACTGACACAGATTACTTAGTTTCGTTAGATGTATCAAATCTTTTTACTAATGTACCTATCCCAGAGGTTTTAGAATACATCAAATCTTACTTGTCTTTATCTACCTTACCAGATGTAGAACTGTTCGCCTTTATCTCCTATACTTGCAGACATCTTTATGCATAATTTTGAGAATAACAATATATTGAACAACAATCCTTTTTGCTCAGCTATTAAATTCTATCAAAGAT